ATATATTTATAGGATTTATGGACGTCTTTGATCATTGTTTCTATTTACTCTGTAACTTGGCTGGGACAGGGTTTATTATCATCATTTTAGAGATGAGGAAAAGGTAAATCAGAGGGAAAGTAACTTTTTTCAAGGTCACACAGCCAGGGAGAAAAGTTAAGGTTTGGAACCTGGGTCTTCCACAAAGACACACTGCCTCCTTTTCCGCTTAAACACAAAATAGTCACAGGAATGTTCTAATGCATATCTGTTTGGCTTTAATTTTCTTTGCAATTATTTTAATTCACAAAAAGCATGTTTTCTGGGAACACAGATGCACCCAGAAAATCCCATATTGTAGGGATGTCGTGTTCCATCCAAAATGGTCCAGAATAAAGTATCTATATAGGTGCCCATCATAACGCCTCCATCAGATACCGAAGTGCCAAGCAGAGACTGTGGACAGCAACAGAGGATGGAAATGCATGAATTGTGGACTGTACACATTTCAATGTGTGGCCTTTACAGAGTCCTTCAATTAGTTCCAGGACAGCCACCTACGGAAGGGCATGTTGGGAAATAATTAATGTCACATCACTTTGTGTTTCAGGTCTTAGAACAGGGAGAGTGAGAGGCCAGAAGGACAGGAAGGGAGCAGCATGAAGGGTCGCTGTGAACTTTGGGAAGGTTCTGGGAAAACATCAGTTAATAAAAATAGTCCATGAGATGTTACTCAGGGTACTGGCCACCTGCACTTTGTCAAAAAATGTTGATAAACTTTAGTTTCTTATCTGAGACAAATCAAAGCTGCCCCCACCTCACACTTGGCGTCCTGATGCTAAGCCATGTCAGCCCACAAAGGGTGAGCCAGATCCACCAATAGTCCTGTCTGCTAAAGAGTTTCTGTCAAGTCTCAGACCTGGAGGGACACTCCCTACCTGCCCCTGAACCCAGAGCCTGCCTGAATCTTCCTGGATCCTCAGCTCCCACACATCACCTGGTGCATGCATGGAGGCATCCTACCTGGTGCTAGAGCGACTGGTTGGAATGTCGGGCTGCCAAGTGGGACCCTATCCATTGGCGATGTAGCAGCTGAGCTCAAGTTCTGCAGCCCCATAAATTGCCTCGGTTCTCATTAGTGGCAGGCATATAACCATGGTGTAAAAATTTTAAATCCAATTTCCGGTTTTTATTTGGTTTCCTTTTGTGACCTCCCCCACCCATGCAAAAAGGCATTTCCTTTTTATATTAAGGTTCACAACAATAAGAATAGTAAGCCGGCACATCAGTACAGAACTTTATAAGTGGGGGAGATGCAGATGGGGCTGGAATAATGACTTCAGTTTTATAGGTGAGGCATCGACCTGCCTGAGGTCACACAGCTGGCATAACTAAAGCCAGAAGCCAGGGAAGAGTGCTTGAGAATTCAGAACAGCCCACTGAGGAAGAAGGGGAAACAAAAGTGCCATGCCGCGCGTGCTCTTGCTGTGAGGAGCCAAGTGAACATTTTGCCACAGGGCTATAAATAGGTCTTGTGTTTACTGGAGTCTGTGCTCCCATTGGGTGGCAGTCCCCACCTCAAGAATGCAGCAACATGCAACAAACTTTGCACTGCAGCCCGTGGAAAGCAAAGACTCAGTTGTTCCCATCTACTCTGGGTCTTGTGGGACAAATAGGAAGGCTCTCTGGGAGAAGGTCTCTGTCCAGAGTCCTTCCTCTGTCAAAGGTTCAAGGTTAAGACCCCGGGCAGCCGTTCTGTTGTGTTGGAAGTATTCCTTTCTAAATAGATCAGACCATTCCTTCCTGACAGAGCAAGCCGTGATTCCTGAGGCAGGGACTCCATCTGAGGGCTCAACACACAGAATAAACAAACATCCAACCAGAAACCTCACAGAAATTCCTCATTGAATGAGGAAGTCAATGAAGATTCAGCAAACTCCATCTCAAAGCCCCCAAAGTATAACAAAAGCTGAAAGAAAAGTGGGGTGAACTGGTGGAAGGTGTACCCTTGCTGTGTGAAGACAGGCAGCCCAGGGCGTTGGGTTAAAGTAAGGCATCCACGCCGGCGGTGTCAAAGCAGAAACTCTGGCTGGAAATAATCCCAGTCCAGGGGCTGGGAGAGAAATTGTAGACACATCCCGGCTTTGATTTGGCTCAGATAAGAAACTAAGGTTTATCAGCATTTCTTGACAAAGGGGAGGTGGCTGGTGCCCTGAGTAACATCTCATGGACCATTTTTATTAACTGATGTTTTCCCAGAAATTGCTTTCCTCATTTGATCAACATCTATCACTCACCATATGCCAACTCCTTGCAAAGCCCTGGAGACAGAAGGGATAAACCCTTGTTTCTTTCCTAAAGGGTTCATATTCTCCAATTTGGTGTGTTAGTTTCCTTTTTTAAATGGACTATTCATGGACCCTAGATAGGAAGGCACAGGTTTTATGGGGTTTGAAGTATTTAAATATCATAATGTATTTGGCTCCATAGTTTCAATGTTTCACATGTTCCTCCTTCGATTTCTATACAGAAGACCTCTTCTTAGCTGTAGCTGACACATGTAAGATTATATTAGAACAAATTGAGCTACCCAAGGCCAGGGCGGCATATCTGAGGAATATCCTATGTTTAGAATAAAGAGACTTTGGAATCTCAGTTGACCCCTCAAGGCTACCGTGAGTCTCCTGCCTGCACCAGAAAATAGAATGCCCCACAGCCAATCTTGTGAATCCAGGAGTTAGCACACTGGCCAGGCCATGGCGGGCCCATTCCATCCTCAGACAACTGAGACTTTGCTTACAGAAACAAACTACTGACATTTATTTATTTTCACTCATTTCATCTTCCCAACAATCCAATTAGGCAGATGCTGCTACCCCAACTTTGAGGATGAGAATACTGAGGCTCAGAAGAAGTAAACAACATGCCAAGCTTGGTCGCTAAGACTGAGCTCCAAAGCTTCTCCCAAGGGCTCCTGCAACCTCATCCCTGGAGATGACCCTTAGCGAATCCCACTTTGCTCCCCAGCCTTCATGGTGAGTTATTTCCACGGGATGTGGTTTCCAGCCCTGCTCTCTCTTGGTCTCTTTTCAGTTCCTGCTTCCCAGGTGGCATCTCTCCTGAAAGGGATACCAGGTGGAACCTCTCCACTCCTTTGCGTTGTGTACCTGCAGTCAGAAACCACCCCAGCTTTCTGGTGCTCATACAAATGACCCATGGAAACCTTGAGGTCAACTTAGATCCCAAAATCTTTAATTCTAAATATACGACACTCCTCAGGTCAGCTCAATCTGTTCTAATATAATCATATATAAGGACTTGATCTTCTCGGATTTAATAAGACATTCTAGCCTGCTAAGGTTCTTTATACCCAGGCTCTGTCATTAAACATATTTCATGATTTCTAAAACTCCTATGCTGTTGTTGTTGTTATTAAATAAATACCATGGAGTTAGTTCCAACTCATAGCAACCCTATATAGGGTTTCTGAGAAGTGACTGGTAAACTTGAACCACCAACCTTGTCGTTCAAACCGACTTTGTGGTCCAGTGCATTATCCTGCAACACCATACCAGGACTCTTACACAACATGTTATTTTACAACTTTGCTCAAGTTACTGACAAAAAAAGTCAAAGAAAACAGAGGCCTGTGGCCCATCACTAGTGACCACACGTAGACTAGGCTCAGTCTAAGAGGAAGTCTCTCTGGGTGGATAGTGACTCAGCTAACTAGACTCTCATCCTGATGACTGGTCTCCCAACCCAGGACAGCTGGTGGGGCTGGGACATCAGAATGGAAGCAGGCTTTGTTGCTCTGTTACAGCCCTTATGTATACGTAAGCTTAGATATCATATGGAGAGAAGATTAGATTAAGAATCAGGTTGAACAAAGGATTGAATCTTGGCTTTGCCATAACCTGGCTGAGGGGACTCTGGTCAAGTCTTTCACCCATCTGTAAAATGGGATAATAATGGTTGCTTTACGTGGTTACTGAAAAAATTAAATGAGATAAGATACAAGAAAGTACTTGGTCACCTATCACACAGAACATTCTGATGGAGACAGAGGACTAAGTCTGAACTTGGGAAGGGCAGGGAGGGGTCTGACACTTAGTCTCTGTGGGCACCACACACTGCAGGTTCCATTAAGGATGGCTGAGCTGGACAGAATCAGAATTAACCAATAGGGCTTAGGTAAGTCTAGGTCTCTGGTTCCCCTTCGACTGCGTTGTTGGAGTCCTGGGGTTTTAGCTCCCTGAGAAGAGGAAACAGCAGTGAGTATAACACTTCTGCTTCCAACCACCCAAAAACCAAGCAGTGAGACCATGGAAAAGCTTCGAGAACTTCCCCAAAGATACAAGGACACGACTGTTTTACTTACACAACAGAACACTTTTGCTGCCATATTCTGGTCAAACTGGCCAAGGATGATCCGCACGTCATTCCCCTGTGGACAGAAGGACACACAATTAAAGGTAAGTTGTGACAAGTTGGCACATCTAGAGGATGCTCATGTGTCCCAGACTTCTCAGCTTAGAGCCCAGAGCAGAGGGGCAGGGGGCAGGGCATCCCCACCCAGCCCAGCCCAACTTGGATTCTCTGGTTCTTTCTGGGGACAGATTTCCTTCAGCTGTCCCTGGAGCAGAATGCATAGGCTGGAGGGTAAAATTGCAGCTCTGAGGGGCCTGTTTGTTGCTCATGCTCTCCTGGAATCACACCGCAGAGTGATGATAAGATGTCTTTAGTGTTCTTCCTCACTGGGAAACTGAGGCCAGAGTGGAAAAGAGCTTCCAAGGTCCCCTAAACCAAAACACATCTATTTCCATCAAGTTGATTCTGACTCATACAGACCCTATACAGTCTTTCCAAGATTAGAAACCTATATGGAAGCAAACAGCCTCATCCTCCTCCCACAGGGTGGCTGGTGGGTTTGAACTGCTGACCTTGTGGTTAACAGCTCAATGCCTAACCTATAGGGTCTCCAAAGCTGCTTCCCAATAAGGTCAGAAATAAGTCTTCTGGCCCTTTAAAAAAATTGTCAGTTATATATAATCAAAGATGAGGCTTTCTGCTCTACAAGATCTTAAAGCCTCAGAGGATGGCCATGAGTAGGTATATGCATATATTATGTATAAACAACATTTGGCAAGTCAACATTTTTCACATGTACCCAAAATCAGTGCCACCAGGTATATTACTTTTGTTGTACAGCCATCACTGAAATCACCTGCCAAGTATTTTACCACCAGAAACCGAAAACACAGTGCTTCCTAAACAATGACTCCCCTTTTCCCCGATCCCTGGTAGCCAGTTAAAAACTCTGGTCTCTACAACTGCCCTGACCCATTTTTATTTCAAAGAAAATTCTGTGTCTGAAAGTGCTTAAATAGGATTACAGACATTATCTAAATGTGGTTAACAGGTGTATGCCCCCTCATTTACTCAGTCAGTGAACATTTACTGAGGTCTGCTTGAGGTGCTCTCCTAGGGTATGAGGCTTCTGGTTCCATTCTGAGGGATGGGGATCCAGGTTGGGCTTTGCCCATGTAGGAGAATATGCCCTGGCCACATGCCAGCTTCCCCGCATGCCCTCATCCATCCCTGCCTTTCACAGCAGCAAGGCCAGGCCTGTCAGGGGGTGCTCTTTCCTCAGTGGTTGGCCCCTCCTCTTCAGTGGACCTCAAGGCCATTTGATGCACAAAAAAGAGAAACATGTCTTAAAGATCAGTTTTTAGCATCTTTCAAAATTGGAAAGTGCTGACTGGGAGGCCATTTTACTCATCGTGTGCTTTAGCAACATAAAAAAAAAAAAAAAAAAAGGCCTGGATTCTAAAAGCATACTTCATTTTCAAGCAAGAATGGAGAAAAAAAACCAAAAAACCTTCTCTGAAAGGGCTTTCAGAGATCGTTAACGGAGCAGTTGGAGGAAGACAAGCTTTTGTCATCACCACGTCTGCAAAGCTATAAAAAGTTCTAAGCTGTTTCCGCTCTGTGGACATGCTCCCAAGCACACTCCAGGATTTTTCTGCTTGTTGGCTGAATTATTTTAGCATTTCTTGCTTCTAACTGTAGTCATCCACCCATCCACCCATCCATCCATCCACTATTGATCATAACATCTCCTTTCTGCCTAATTGTGTTACTGAACATGGTGAGTAGGAACAATTCATTAGATTTTGAAGTCAGAGAGACCTGTATTCAAATGCTGATCTTGGGTTTTACTTTTCTCAAGCCTCAATTTCCTCATCTCTAAAACAGGAAAATCCTACCTCCTATGTCTCGTGGTTGTAGGATTCATGAACATAAAACTCACCTCTTGACTCCCATGATGCCTCTCTCTTACATCACCTCCTACCTCCCTGGTCACTCCTGCTCAGAATCCACATTGGCTCCCATCTTTTTGCTCCTCCCTAAATGCTGCTGTCTCACAGGGGGTTCTGCCCCATCATTTTCCCTGTATAAACTCATTCATGTCCCCAGGTACAACTCCCCTCTGTGTACTGTGGACTCCCTAATCTCTCTACTCAGCCCAGACCTTTTCCCAGCTGTCCAACCTCCACTTGGATATCTCCCAGCACCTCAAGCTCAACATGTCCCAAGCTGAACTCATAATCTTCCCCACAAGCCAATTCCTCCTCCTGTGTGCTCCATCTCTGAGAACAGTTATCACCAATCTTTTACTCTGCCAAGCTGGAAACTCGGGAGCCACCTTACACTCTTCCCTTCACTTCCCACAACCAAGCAATAACAGGGCCTGCAGGCTGTCTGCTCACTAGATCCCAAATCACCCCATCTCTCCATCCTCATTGTCATCGTTTCCTACTTGGTGAGCTCCAACAGACTCCCAACAGGAATCCTTACCCAGTAAGCCCAGTCCAGAGAGTAGGTCATGTGATCATTCTAAGATTCAATATTGATCCTGTAAAATCTTTCATGGCTTCCTACGGTTTCAGAGTAAACTCTAAGCTCTGCAGTAGAGCATTCAAGATTCTTTATCAACTGACTCCTGCTCATTTTTCCAATCACATTTCTCACTACCTCTCCACAGAAGTCAGAGTGAACCATTAAAACAAGTCTGCCATCCACTACCCATCCATCCACTTTCTCACTCTCTCCCTTCCATTTTCCTTCAAACTCATCCTGTCCAGAAAGCCTGCGCCCCACAACACAGTCCTCTGCCAGGATAACTGCAAATCACATGCTTCATGCCCTAGCTAAGGCCTTCCTCTGTTTGGAAACTGTCCCATAAAGGCTGGGAAACCATGTCCTCTGTGGGCCCAGATCACTGTGTGTTTTCTTCAAGTATGCCGCTAGTCCATTTCCTTGTCCATGTTCCTCTCTGGCTGTGGACAACCTGAGGGCAGGAACTATGTTTGCTTCATTTCTGTCCCCAGTTACTGGCTTGGGGCATGACACGTATGTCAATAAATATTTGTTGAATGGATGACTGAGTGACTGAATGATGTGTACTGTTCCAAGCACAATGCCTGGCCCACAGTGGGTACTCAGTAGCTAGCATCCATTATCATGACGACACTTATGCTGACCCCAGGGCACGTCCATTTCTTAAAGTGAACCAAGGGACCCACATTTCATGGCTGACCGCCTGGCCACCTGCTGAAAGACAAATAACCAGCATTGGCACTTGAGAACCATTTAGTGTCTCTGTTGCTATGACGACCAAGTTGCACAAATCACTTGGTTCTGTGTTCCCAGGCTGTTAGAGGTAAAGGGGGCCCAAAGGATCACTGATGTAGTTAACTCCTTCCTAGAATGGCAAAAGGCTCTCCCCAAGGTTGCACAGCACCCTATAACAAGAGTTCTTGCTTTGATGTCTCCCCATCATCAGAGAGGTCTGAAGAAACACCTCACCCAGAGCCAGGCAAAGCTTGATGTAGGGGAGATGTTCACAGTGAACAAAATGGCACAGAGTCGGCAGGAAGCCTGGGACCAGGGGCTGGGGAAGAGGAGGTTGGCCTGGGGTCTTTATGGGGGCAACCTTGTGAGCTGTGTAGAGTTTTTGGTATTTGTCAGATTGGACTATGTGTATCTCTAGGGCATGAAGAGGTGTCCTGAGAATATGAAAAGTATGACTGGAGACCTGGCTCTTCTTAGGGAAGTAGTAGTTTATGGGAAGATTCTGGGGTAGAAGGGAAGGGTTGGGATTTGGTGAATCTGAAAAGTTTTTTATCACATGCATACTCTCACAAAAGTTCCAGGATCATACTTTCCATGTTGCATAACTTGTATCGTGTCGCGGAAGTCCAGAGATGGGGAAAAGAAAGTCTGTGTGATCAGTCACCCTTATTCAGCTCAAGCCTCCCACCGCCCAATCACAAGCTCTCCTTGGTGGTTGGAGGGCAGGAAGGGGAGTCATGGAGTGTCTGAGGACAAGAGTGAGAAAACAAAGCTGGTGCTCCAGAGAACAGGGACGCTGGGGGGCTTGTGAGAGTAAATGGTTTGAAGTGGAACAAATGACCTCTTTCTCGGGTCCAGGAGGAGAACGCCTGTAGGCTATACATGGAAACCTGTGTTCACACCCTCAAGAGGCTACCTCCACAGGGAAAGGCAAAAACGGAAGAGAAGGGCCATAGGAAGGAGGATGTGCAGCCCAAACCCAGCTCCGCAGAACAGAAGCAGAAGCAGGAACTTTCTCTGGAGAGGAGCTAGAGGATGGCCAAACTCGGGTGGGTGTTCCCCCTCTCTTATCTATTGTCTGGAACCCCTTGGTCTCGGTGACTCACACACATATACACTCTATCTATCCATCCATCCATCCATCCATCCATCCATCCATCATCTATCATTTATCTACACATTAAGCATAATATAGACATGAGGAGCCTTCAAAAACTTCAAGGGAAAAACTCCAATATCTTTTAATTCAATGTTTCCACGAACTTTGAAAAGCCCCCTCATACACACACACACACACACACAGTTGTTGTTATGTACTGTTGAGTCAGTTCCGATTCAGAGAGACCCTGGATAGCGTTTCCAAGGAGCAGACGGTGGGTTTGAACTGCCAACCTTGTAGTTCACAGACCAGTGCTGATCCTACAGTGCCACACCAGAAGTCCTTATACACACACTATTAAGAATCAAATAAAAGAAAAAATTGACACTTAATAAGGATGAAGCAATTCAGATAATTAGTGTGTAATTTCCAGTTTAAAAGGGATCCAAAGTAAAAGTAAGTTAACAGTGTTTGATTGAGGTCTTTCTAACTCTTGTGTGAATGGTCCTTCCGCCTCACCCGAGCAAGCAGGTGCTATTACCATGCCCACTTTAAAAAGGGATAAGCACATGGAGGCTCAGAAAATTAAGAAACGTTTCCAGGTGTACTGGACACCTTGATGCTGCCCGTGTCTCCTCCAACCTGGAGCACCCATCCCAGCTGCAGGGATTTATCCCAAGAGACCATGCCTCCCCCATGCCCATCAGACA